GGTTAATTTTGTAGACAAGCCATACCTGAGAGAGTTGACCTTTAGTTAATGCTTGACCTATGTGTATTGTATTGTTAAAGTACAGGATAAAACATAATTAACCCAGTCATTTTGAAAGTCATCACGTTATTTCTTCTCTTCCAACCTTTCCTTGTTGACTGAATCGTCCAATCTACACTATCTATACTCAAGCAAAACTAAATCCATTAAAAAAAGAAAGAAAAAAAAAAATGAAATAACAACCTCTTGAATGTGAAGAACTCCTGGGATACAGGGTATGAAAAACATGCAATTATCACCAAAAAATGAACAGTTTCTTGTGTTTTCATCCCGCTAGTTTTTATTATGAAATACATCCATCTCTGGAGGAGACATTTGTTAAATTACATTTCAAAAGCATGCACGGATGTTTCTTAGAAATGAAAAGGACACTAGATTTTTTGTGGGCGAATTAAACAGATTGTAACCCTGACGTAACGCAATTATTTTATTTGTTGGTTTGTTAAACACCAACCATTGACTTTTGTGTACTGACTACTGTACCTGCATCAACTTCAGTGATCAAACTTCTATCCCAAATATTAATTCCAAATGAAGTTTTATGAAAAGGAAAATGTTGTGTAATTAACAGGCCTGAGTTCATACATTGTACAATCGTTGTCATGGTAACAACATTGACATGTATTGCTTCACTCTGGGCCTTATAACAGAACAAATACTGAACCTGGCCGGAAAATAAAATGTTGCATTACATGTTCCGAGACATAAATTGATTACATTTTTTGACAAATTACATTTTGAGAAGCACCCTTTAAATTGCCCAATCCTGTGAAGATGAAAATGATAATTTGGAGATGTTCCTTTCCTATTTGTGGTAATATGGAGATGTTCCCTTTCTGAACCCAAATGAGCGTTATGTAAAACGTCTGTACATGTATGGAACTTACATCGTCCCTTTTATTCAATCAACTCGGCTTGTGGGTTTCCTGTGCGGGAAATTAAATCATGGCTGACCATACTTTGCTTGTCAGTACCTTCAAATTAGTACAATGATACCAATCATAAGATATTCTCAAGTACGAACACCTAGCGTGTGAAATTGATCATGTACTTAGAGGCGACTCCTTATTCTGAGTTAGAAACCAGCGTGTGGCAGTTGGTATTAAGTCTTCTCTCTTGTACGACTATCTCGCTTCTCAATTAGTTTAACTACTCGCTACATCATGCTATATCACAATTGCTCTTTAGTCAGAATATAATTTAGCCCCAGATGCGTTATAACTAGAGAGATTTCATTTTCAGGAAGTCATCTTAGGAAATTACATTGGTATTTATGGCTATTTGCTGATGAAGCAATTTCTGTGGTTCCACAAGTCTGGGTCGGTCTCCTCGTTATTTTGTGCTTTTCATTTTATTGCCTTGACCCCCCCTGTATTTACCCTCCAGGTGCTGTCACTACGTTGCCTAATGTGGAATTACCATATTCTAGAACTCGCCGCATTCTCTTCAAAGACATAAATGACGAATGCATGAACCTCTCTAATCAAACACTAATTCATTCCCATCTCAAGTAAATTTGAATACTTTCTAATCACATTTAAAACTCGATCTCCCTCTTGAATTTTTTCGGCATCACTCTGATGTGCATCTCTTGAGCGCTGTTCGTTTCAAACCACCTGACTGCGCTTGCAAACTCCTCATCCTTATTTTAATACTCAAACAACACATTAAAGACGAGTTAATTTCAGTCGTACATGTATATATATTTGCATGGACGATGATACGCTGTCAACTAGCGCAGTGATTACTTGGCGCCTCTATTATGACACGCTTCATTTCTCACTCTTCCCAGTCAGTTGATAACAACTCATGCTCGTCTGTGTGTCGCTATGGTACATATACTATTTATATATAATCTTGCGAAAATATACCGCTACAAAAAATTAATTGTAAAATTGTGGTAAATTTATTTTCTCACAGAACACTCATTTCTCATCTAGCATTGATGAGAAATAAATGTACATCTTTCATTTCATTTCTCTTATCATTAATAAAGAACTCATATGACCTATTACTAACCACATTCAGGGAAGTGAGTGGAGGCTGCCCTTGACTGATCTCATCCCTTCTTGCATGATCAGATTTTGTTGATTCACTTACATTGCTCGCTACGCTGATTTTCGTCTTTAATGTTGTATATCGTTTTTGTTACATTTGTGATTCGTCATTATTTGCTCCAAATTGTTGATAATAAACTCGTGTTTATACTGTTATTAGCTGTTCTAAAAATGGCGCACATTCCTTCTGGTAAATTTATATAAGGTTTGAGATGTCCGAACTGAGTAGCATCTTTGCCGCATTCTGATTATGGTTTTCAGAATTCTGATTTATAAGTACCTGGGTCTGCTAGACGTGATTGCTTCTGATGTGCCACGCCCACTTGCTGTTTTTAAGTCAGCTGATATTGTGACTATACTTTCTAAGCAAGTGATCACTCCTATAGCTTATCACCTGTCTTGAAACCAGACTTAGAAGAGCTAATTATGGAAGAGATTTTAATAGCTTATCTCTCCTAATCACTTACATAACTGTAGCCAGGAGAGCTAGTAGCTCCCAGGCTGTTTTCAAAGGCAAGACCAGGTTTTTATAGGTGTATGTGCCTCACAAAGTGTTTTTGAGATAAGTTTGGTTCCTGTTGTGTTTGTGAGTGCATGTGAGGTTTTTTTGGGGAGGGGAAGCAGATGGTTTAAATTTACAAAACATGGATGAGGTTGGTTGTTTATCCTCCCAAAACATGATACATGTAGTTGAGTATTCACACTTTGTATTTAATATAATCTACAGACATCTTTTACTTCCAGTGGATAAAATGTGATGCTGACGGCTTGGATGAATATATTTACCGGAAAGATTAGCAATAAAGTTGCCCTTTAAGAAGTAATTATCAAGAAGTACCTTGTTAAAAATGCGGTATAAATTAATCACACCGCTGCAAAACCAGATATCAAACGCAAAATCTTAAAAAATAAGTCATTTCCTTGTAATAAGACATAAGTGGCATCTACTATTAGAAAGTTGAATTGAATAATTTTCTTGTAACGATTGATGCGGCCCGCCTTTTATTCACTCTCGCTACTCAAGAAAATCACTTTCTTCAGAAAATTGCTAATAACGTCTTACTAATCTTAGGATCTTATCCCTTTCATTGTATTCACTGACGCTATATCTATCCGCGTTAACATCATTTCAGACATACATCCGACTTTCCTAGACCTTCAGGCCTCAACTCTGCTGAAGTGAGGATTTCTCTCTCATCTGATCCTAATACTTGGAGTAATAGTGAAAGTTTCTTAATATCATTGATGTTCATAAAGTATTAGCTGGGATTTTTAGTTAACTGGTCTACTTAATCCATTTATTGTGCAATTGTTTCTGAGAATCTGTTTTCTTCTCTAGATTGTGATTATTATTAAAGTGAGCCTCATTTGCTTAATTAATTCTAGTATTTAATCATTTTTTGAAATGTTGTACACATTGATACTGTGTATGTACCTGACTTACATGTAGCTCCTAATTCTCTCAGAGCATGAACAAGAGTTAGATTGACAACTTCCCTAAGTCCAATAATCCAGCAAAATCAACGCAGATGCATTTTGTGATAATTAACTGAAATTTAGAAAATCAGAGAAAATTGTCAACAACTGCAAGGTATCTTTAATATTTTAAAACGTGAGACAACATATGACTCATGATATCACTGAAATTCAAGTATTCAATGTTTAACACTTATGGAGGACAAGGGGCATGTACAGATGCCAAACTAAAGTAAACATCATCTGAAAGCCTACATGTATGTCATGTGACATTATAGGTACATAAACAATCGTGCATGTAGGGGTGAATGTAACCATTATTTAGATAAAGTAGGGGGTACCATTGTCTCTTCTGGACAGCTTCAAAACCAGTTAACCTTTTTGTTTCTTTGTATCCCCCCATGAATTTATTTCCATTTTCGGTTTTATTTTCTAATTTCTATGTTAATTTCTGATGAAATAGACATGATGAAGCTGTTCACAGGTCTTGATATGTCACGCTCTTACCAGCATCTATTATAGTGCTGCTGTGACAAAGGTTGCCGCTACGATAAGAAGATTTCGGTTCTCTATCATACTCGCTTGTATTTCATCAAAATATGCGGTTCCCAATAATTGTGAAATAAGATTATTAAACTTGCATTTATGCTCACATATACTGAAATCAAAGGTTCTTTTTTTTTAATCTGATTATGGTCCATGTATCTGTTGGGAAGACATTTTGTACGGTAACCCGTATGCTCCACTAAGCCTCTTATAGGTTTATGAAATATACAGTCTGGAGTCTGTCTGAGTTTAGATTAATGAGTTAGGGAAAATAGTAATGTACTTGTCTGAAACCTGCCAACTTTCTAACACCACTAAAAGTTAGTTATAAATCTTATTGGGTTGCCAGGAATGTTTACTGCATCTGATTTGATGTGTCAGGAGTGCAATGGATGCTGGGTGATTACTTGATCAGGAGTGCAATGGATTCTGGGTAATTACTTGATCATGCAATGGATGCTGGGTAATTACTTGATCAGGAGTGAAATGAATGCTGGCTATTTATTTGATCAGGAGTGCAATGGATGCTGGGTAATTACTTGATCAGGAGTGCAATGGATTCTGGGTATTTACTTGATCAGGAGTGCAATGGATGCTGGGTAATTACTTGATCAGGATTGCAATGGATACAGGGTAATTACTTGATCATGAGTGCAATGGATACTGGGTAATTACAATACCAAGCAAAATTATTTCAATATCAAAAGTTTGTAATTCCTATTGTAATTTTTGTTTGCACATGTGTTTTTTTTAAATTAAGTTTTCATGAATAATTAACCATGTGATATAATTTGTGAACTATTCTATAATGCTATTATTTCCTTTTTTGGTCAAAACCAATTGTGATTCTGAAAAAAAAAAATGCCGTAAGTCCCTGTTGCAATGAATTCAGTAATCAGATGTTTTATGTCCATTCTGTTTGCTTCCTCCACCAGAAGCACCTGTCCACAAGAAACCGATTAACATTGTTTACCATCTGGATTACCTAACCACATTGCTGGCTCATTTACCTATTATTAATTAAATCTTAGAATCATTATCTACACCTAAATACTCCTGAATCCTTTCTTTACACATACATGATTAAAAAAAATCAATTGCTGAAATTTTTTTCAATCTTTTAAGAAATTTGGTGTAAAATTTTGCAAATTTTTGTATATTTCTATAAATTCATTCCTACATTTTGTGCAAAATTGATATTGGTTACTTGTCCTAATAACAATTTGTGAACAATTATAAAACAAACTTAGGATATTTTGTTAAAGTGTCAAAAATTGACTTTGGCATTGAAAGGATATCAAGAGGAAATATCGCAATCTTTTGTGGAATGTCTGAAGTTTACATTCAGTAATTATGAATCTGTAATGTACATTTTATCTTTATTTTCCATCAATATTCCTGTATCCTTTTCTATCCTATTTGTCATCTAGGTAAATTATATGCATTTCTAATGGATTAAAATGTCATTCGTGTCTGAATATTTGGCGCCCTATCACAATGCTACTTCCCTACACGTCTGTGTTAGCTACTGTCAGAACCAAGTCCATGAAAAATAGCTTGCTGTTTATAAAATTATTTGAACTATTCAGCAATATGAACAAACAATTACCTTCAAAGCACATGTTTTTCTCTCACCCAAGGCATTTGTCATACAATTGACGTCATCCTCCCTCCCCCTTGTTTCTGTTAACAAATCGTCTGTTGGCTTTGAAGCGTTTATTCATGCTGTGCTTGTATTTGATTGGTTAAAGTTTAATGATATTTTAAACGTGCATCTAAGAAGGCATGTTTTGTTGGTTATGTACGGCCTGAACACATTGTTCTTTCTGATTTATCCCGCATTTGAGGCAAATAGCTTAAATGCCTCCCCCATGAATGCAGTCAGCTTGTTCCAAGTTTATCATTATAATCGGTATTGATCGTAACAGAACTACCACGTTGTATGATTGACAGGCTTTAGAACTCTTTTGGTCTTTAGAATTGGATACCGACTCATTAATGGGTAAAATTCAAAACATTTTCTGAACTTTTGAGAAAAAAGATGTTTTTGGGTGAAACTTAACCTCCATTGTTTACTAAAAAGAGTTTGTATACCTTGTCTTTCCATCCAACATTGGCAGTTTGGTTAATTGATTCATATATGATTTGAATAAAGCTACGGTTGGTTTTCCTCTCATTTGTCAAACAACCAGTTTATACTTTGTCTCCCCCTTCCAATAAGATGGGAAAAAAAGAAAAAGAAAGTAAATTGGCGCGTACACAAAGAATCTCCATCACTATTCATCCATAGCATCCTGTTACTATAGTGATGTGATGTCTCCACTGGATGAGAAAGATAACAGTTATGAATTTATTTCGTACTTCAGTAATTTTGTATAAACTACAGTTTAACGCTTGATAAATATGTGCCATGTAATAACATTCAGGTCACTCCTTCAGCTTGAATATTTGTTATCGTCGCAATTTTTTTTTAATGGCATAACTGTCACCGATTGCTACTCACAGTATGCTAGCATGAAATTTTCAAACTTTTTAATTGTTGCTATTTTGTCATGTCTGTTACCTCCCTAATGGATGAGTTGTCAATAAATTACTGCGTTTCTTGGCGATTAGTCACATTTCACGCCAATTCATCATTTGTGCGTCTCCCTCCCCCATTATTTCTTTTCGAAGATTAGCTATTCTTTCCCCCGCAAAAGGTTCACTTGTAAATAAATCTCTGCAATTTGTTTTAATGAGTTTATGAAAATAAATGAATTTTAGCACAACAAATATTGTAAAAGTCTGAAAACATATTATATTTGCATTACTGCACATAGTTTTTATGCCTAAATTTTCTCTTCACAAAATTTCAAATTCTTTGGTTTTCAACTTTTTTGTTCCAAAATTATAATTTCACAAAAATAGTACTCCAAAAATTCATTAAAAAATGTTGAGTAACCACAGTAACCATGCACTGCACTGCATTTTTACATTTTACCGAATATTCTGCTGTATGCCATTTTGACCAGGGCCCTGTCAACAAAAATGATGCTTTCGTTAATGTTCACTGATTTTTCCCCAAAAAAAAGATAAATAAAAAAAATGACTTCTGAAATATAAATGCTGATATATACAAGTATAGTGTAAGTAATATACAAGATGTTCCGGAATCATTGGTGTTCCTGAATACAAGCATGCAGTGGTTACTAATACAGGTTGCCCTCATTCGATATTCACTTGTTCTCATTAATCTTACACTGTTCGTCATCAATTCCACCCATTGATCAATGGTCTGCACAAACTTCCTGTCTCTATGTCGTTATTACTTGCCCCCTCTTACTCTAACTGATCACTGTAATTTAATAGCAATACCCTTGTAAAGAAGACACCCATAATATCGCGTAGCGTGTATTCATTTGTATTCGTGTGTTATTTACAGATTGAAAGTCGACTTTAAATCGTTATTATTTTGATGAAATGTGTGCGATTCATTCACATTTCAGTTACGTCACTGTGACTTTTTACTTGTACATAACATTTTAATTTTACCTGTATTTTAGAAACATTTCTCAGTATTATCATTTTGCTCTTTATTGTTCTTCTTATTGGAAAGATTCAATTTTTTTTTTTTTTAAGTGAACATTTTTTAATTATTGAGATTTGTAAATTATGAGTGTCTTTAATCGAAGTTCTACTGCTATCAGAGGACGTCACACAATAATCAACGAAAATCTTATTTCGAGAACAGATTGATAAATATTGTTTATTAAAAAAATTGAATCTGGTATTAATATTCAACTATATTTTTAAATGATTTCTCAGACTACCACCATCAATAAAAAGCCTCAGATGGAGCTTGACTTCTTTTTGCTCCTTGTTGACATTCATAATATTGTTTGATTTAAGCTGGTCAGAGTGTAGAAACCTCTTAGATCATTGTTTTAATGAAGTCCATTTGTACACATCATTTGTGTGTCTGTCTGTCTGTCTGCGTGTTTTTCCCTCCATGGTGCCGTGGTGTCTGTGAACCTGACGTTAGCGCTTGTTTCACATTAATCATTCACGTTCTCTGTCAGCTTAAGTGAAATTCGACACCATCCTGTCGGTGTCTTTGGTAATGGCTTCTTTGTACAATAGCATCAAAGTTTTACAATTGTTATTCATTGTCTTTTTTGCCACTTTGGTTTTGGTCATATACATGTATTACCATAGTATTTTCTCTATTAGTAGCGCATACATTTATATACATGTATTACCATAGTATTTTCTCTATTAGTAGCGCATACATTTATATACATGTATTGCCATAGTATTTTCTCTATTAGTAGCGCATACATTTATATACATGTATTACCATAGTATTTTCTCTATTAGAAGAGCACACATTTATATACATGTATTACCATAGTATTTTCTCTATTAGTAGCGCATACATTTATATACATGTATTGCCATAGTATTTTCTCTATTAGTAGGGCATACATTTATATACATGTATTACCATAGTATTTTCTCTATTAGTAGCGCATACATTTATATACATGTATTACCATAGTATTTTCTCTATTAGTAGCGCATACATTTATATACATGTATTATCATAGTATTTTCTCTATTAGTAGCGCATACATTTATATACATGTATTACCATAGTATTTTCTCTATTAGTAGGGCATACATTTATATACATGTATTACCATAGTATTTTCTCTATTAGTAGGGCATACATTTATATACATGTATTACCATAGTATTTTCTCTATTAGTAGCGCATACATTTATATACATGTATTACCATAGTATTTTCTCTATTAGTAGCGCATACATTTATGTACGTTACAGGTGTGTTTCTATGTGTTTTATTTTAATCATTCAAACAGTTTTTAGTTTACACATATTCCTATTGGAGATGTGCTTCATATAGATAGGTAGTCTTTTTTTAATATGAAAAAAAAAGTTTATTTCTTTTTTAGTATGAAAAAAAAATATTTTTTTTCTATTTCATCTTTTTTGAAAATAAGTAGTAGTTTTATGAATAATAATATTTACATGTATGGCTTTGTTGCGATCCAATTCTGTACAATTGTTAATTGTGACAGCACCCTAACTGTCGTAAAGTGGTCACTAATGTTGATTTTCAAATATTTTCTTATTATTTCTGTCAGAAATATTCTCTGAATTTGTAAAACTGTAAAAAAATCTGTAAAATAATAAAGCTGCTTGGGAAGAGATTTGCGATGAAAATAAAGCTGCTGAAACGTGCATCTACGAATGAAAGGACGACAAATATTCAAAATCTGTTAATTCTTAGATTTTCTAGAAATTCCCTGACATCATGGTGACTCCTACAAATTTGCAATTTTGTGATATTTTCCCAATTCACAGGATGTTACCGGTATATGTATATATTAATTATCTATGCAAAACTTAGAGCATTTTCACCAGCATGCCAAACATTTTTTCCAGCAAACAATCCATTTTTCCTCTGGACGTTTCATGGTATTGGCTAACAATGCTATGAAATACATAACAAAATGGCAGATGCATTCAATAACATTTTGTGCTACTGAACAACTGGTCGCTATATGCTCCATATTTTACTAAGTATTTTTATTTGTTCCAGGTTACCTGATGGATTCACTCAGTTACTCAACCTGACCCACTTGTATCTTAATGACACATTCCTCGACTATTTACCAGCTAATTTTGGAAGATTAGTGAAACTCAAAATATTGGAGATCCGTGAAAACCATCTCAAGTCACTGCCAAAGTATGTATGCTAATATAG